AAGGGAGGCATGATTGTACCTTGCTGGCATTTGCATGGGCACACCTCTACTCTGATGCCCTGTCCTGGTATAGTGCTGCACATATGAAAGTGGGACCTGCGTGCCATAACACATATATTTAAGGGTGACCAGAATCAGGCATAAGGGCTATAAAGGAGGGGGAATAATATGCCTATTTTGTCCCCCTCTCCTTGTATCTTATTGCATATATTTGCATTGTAGTGCATTAGCATTAGCACAAATTTTGAAAGCTGTCACATCATTCATGGTATATGGAGATACACTGGAATGTTGGCAGGGCTTCCTGAATCCAATGGTAATTCCTCTACAAACCAGAGATTTTGCATGACAAGCATACTAGATGCACTAACCTGATCATTTATTTATTAGTTCAGTGGCCCATTTGAGTGGACATTAAGAGACTTACAGGTGTCACATTTGGCATCTGTTAGTGCAACCTTAACACAAACCAATGAGATTGACATCATGATTCACTTTAAAACACTATTCTGAAATCAAAGGGGTCAGTTCTGCTGAGGGAACTGCTTTCATTTTAAGGGCTGCAAGAAAGAGGGAAAGAAAGGGGTTAGGGAGAAAACCTCATCATGCTTGTGGGTGCCCTCTGCCATAATCTTAGACATGTGACAGCTCATGAAAAAAAGTGCCTTGTATGTGAGAACTGTGCTCGAGAATATCTGTTCTGAAGGAAACAGCAAAAGGATATGACACTATTTACATATATTTCTACCACAAGAATAGAAGCATGCCTATATAATAGTTCCTCCCTCCAAAATCAAGACAGATTAAGTATTTAATTCTTGAGGTTCATCATTCAAAAAGGTTAAATAAAAATGAACCATCTTGCAGATTGTTCTGAATGACTCATAAATTCAGTTCACCTAGCTAATAGGATTTGTTTTCATCTCTAGAAAAATGAATGAAACCTTTTAAATAAGAAGCAGTGAGGAAAAGCATCCTGTTGGATTTATATCTGCCTGCAGACATCCAACCAGATAATATGATGGTGGTGAAACTATTTGTGCATGCTAGTAAATAAACTGACCAATAAGCAGAAGTAATGAGATATATTCCCTTCCATTATCCAATAATTAATGACCCGTCAGGGCTGAAATCAAACCAGTTTTATTTTAAAAACTAAAATATAGGAAGGTACAGCTGCATTGTGGCATTTCAGAGTACCTTCTGTGCAGTTCATCTTTACCTGTTTATATCAGCCTTCTGGTGGTTACAAATATAAATACTTTCTACAAAGGGCCATACTTTGGAGTTCTTATTTCACTTACAGTTATCACTAGAAGAAAATCTCAGCCCTCATTTATGAAAATGTCAATTTCACCTCCACATGATCAGCTACTTCTTTGGCAGAAATATTCCAAGCAGCATTGAATATTAAGGTGCAGGGACAAATTAAGACATCCAGAAGCTCTAAGAAATATCAAGTTAAAAGCATATCAAAAATGTCCAATAACAGCATATCAAAAAAAGTATATTGTGTTAACAGAAATGCTTTTAAAAAGAGGTCCATCATAATTGGAGTCTTTAAATTGTAATTTTCTTGTCATTGTTGTGTATCTTCAAGTAATTTCTAACTTATTGTGAACCTAAGGTGAATTTAATTAATTAATTAATTAATTTTTTTGCAGGCTTTCTTCCAGAAAGGGACCCAAGGTGGCTCACAATGTATGGGATTTACTTGGCATAATTAGTTCTGAAGGAGTTTCCCCTTGCCTTCCTCTGTCTGGAGCTCAGAGACTATGGCTTACCCATAGAACACACTCCCTCAGAGTGTGGTGGAATCTCCTTCTTTAGAGGTCTTTAAACAGAGGCTGGATGGCCATCTGTTGGGGATGCTTTGATTTTGAGTTCCTGCATGGCAGGGGGTTGGACTGGAGGACTCTTGTGGTCTCTTCCAACTCTGTGATTCTATGATTCTGTGCTTCTATGATTCGATCCAAAGTTACCCAGTGGGTTTCCATGGCCAAATAGGGATTCAAACCCTTGTCTCCCATTATTCTAGTCCAACACTAAAATTATTATTATTTTCTTATATCCCACATTTCTCTCTATACAGGGACTCAAAGCGGTGAACAAGTATAAAATAATACAATTTAAAAACAGTACAACAATATTAAAATAAATTTTAAATTTTAAAAACAATTAAATAATTTAAAGAATTAAAATAGTTACAAATTAAAATATAACATGTTAAAATACAAACCATTAAAATTTGTATACACCAACATTAAAAACCCAGTTGTTACCAGCTTAAAAGGCCTGACTGCACAGGAATGTCTTTATCTGACATCAGAAGGATAATAAGGATGGAGCCATCCTGGCCTCACTAGGGAGGGAATTCCAAAGCTTGGGAGCAGCCACAGTTCCCACCAAATGTGCCTGAGAGGGCAGTAGGACAGAGGGAAAGGCCTCTCCAGATGATCTCAATACGGGGGGCTCGTACAAGGAGATACGGTCTTTCAAATAGCCTGGACCTAAGCTGTATAGAGCTTTATAGGTGAAAACCAGCACTTTGAAACAGACTGGCAGCCAATGAAGCTGTTGCAACAAGGGAGTTCTGTGCTCCCTATAGCCAGCTCCAGTTAACAGCTTGGCTGCAGCTCTTTGGACCAGGTGAAATTTCTGAGCACTTTTTAAAGGCAGCTCCATGTAGAGTGCATTACAGTAATCCAGATGGGATGTAACCATTTACCACTGTGGCCAGATCAGACTTCTCCAGGACCAGGCATGGTTGGCATACATGTTTTAGCTGTGCAAAAGCACTCCTGGTCACCAGTGATGCCTGGCCTCCAAGCTCAGTGCTGAATCTAGAAGTATCCCCAAACTATGAACCTGATTTTTCAGGGGGAGTGTAACACCATCTAAAATAGGCTGAATCCCTATCCTGGATCTGTCTTTCAACTGACCAGGAGCACCTCTGTCTTGTCTGGATTAAGCTTCAATTTGTTTGCCCTCATCCAGTCCATTATAGTGGTTAGCCACCAGTTTAGGACAGAAACAGCTTGGAATTAGGTGGAAAGGAGTGATAGAGCTGGGTATCATCAGTGTACAGGTGACACCTTACTCCAAAACGCCAGATGACCTCTCCCACCATTAGCTTTTGTAATTTATTTAGCTTGTATTTCAATCCAGCACGGCAAAGGTGCCTCCAAAGTACTCTTCCAGTTAACTGTCAAATTTGGGCTTATTCATCTTCGTCCTGGAGACATGTGCACTAAGTCTGTAAGCTGTAGTTTGATTCTCATCACAATAAACTTATGAACTGTCTATAATACAAGAATAAGCACTGTTCCGTCCGGTATGCATCATCTTTTGCTTGCTCAATCACATTGGGTTTAGGGCACACGATTTACTAAATGAAGGAATCCAAGAAAATGTCATGTTAATACTTTATGTAAAGAACATACTCTTAAGCATGTCCAGGGTTAACATTACAATACCCCAGAGTTCCTTAGCCCTGACTTGAAGTGTTTTCTCTGTAAGGGGCACAAATACCCGGGGATCAAGGGATCTGTATTCCAAGGTACTGCATGTTTAGGAGTAACAAAGCTTTTTTTTTAACAAAGCTGAATGCGCTCTGTTCTCAGAGGCACAGTGTTAACTAGCTTTCAGCATTTACAAACATTTTGATACATCTATATTTTGCTACAAAGTAAGCATTTCTGAGGAAAATAAATGAAGATGTCTTTTTGTGCAAAGAGTTGTTTTCCCCCCTCAGAAAAACATTTGTGAAAATGGTGGGTTCTTCATGCAACCTGAGGGATCATCCCAAAGAGCAGCTATTTGAGTTTCATTACTATGATACAGTAGGAGGATCACTAGCAGGCAGAATTTCACAAGGCCAAGGTAAATGTGATTTATAGCAGAACCAGTGAAATTCATCCACTGTCATCCAAATGGATAAGAACTGTAAAGATTTGCCACAAAAGAAACAGTGATCAGATGACACATTTCAGTCTCTTCAGTTGTCAAGATTTTTGGCCATCTCCAATAAGCATTAAAAGAACATTACCCAGCTGGATGCTATCTCATTATTTACAATGTATAAATAATTAGTTTTAGTGAACTTTGCTAATGAGAGAGAAAGCTGTTTTACAATGTGCTGCTACTAAAAGATTATTCACTTGAGGATAAACAGCCCTATATTATATTATGTCCATAGAGTTCACTGAGCAGCAGGGTGATCACCAACAGGATCTGAACCCTTGAACTCCTGCTACCTCTCACATTTAAAAAATGACACTAATAATGGGCAAGAAAAAGTGAATCACTCAGGAGCATTGCCTTCTTGACCAGAATTCTCCTCTTCCTGCACTGACAAAGAGTTTTTGCATAGTTACTGAACAGGGAAGAAAAGTTAAACCTTCTCTTCCACCACCTGTTTAGACATTTTCTATACATGGTTAATGTTATGTTTCCTGAAAAATTACTATGAAAGAAAACATTGGATAGTGGCATTAAATGATAATTCTGAATTCCAACAAAATATGACTTTGTTTATTGCAGAAGGGGGTGAACTCTTCTTCATTCTAAAATTATTACAGTGCTTATAGATGGATTTCAAAATGGCCAGAGCACAGACACGGGTTGTTGTTGTTGTTTGTTCTGTTGTGTGCCTTCAAGTCATTTCTGACTTATGGCAACCCAAAGGCAAACTTATCATGGGGCTTTATGGGCAAGTATCATTGCCATCCTCCGAGGGCGAGAGAGTGTGACTTGCCCAAGGTTATCCAGTGGTGACTAAACTGGGATTGAACACTGGTCTCCAGAACCATAGTCTGACATTCAAACCACTACACCACACTGGCTCTCATACAGATACAGGTATCTACCTATATAGTTATCTACAATCGTCCTTTTGTTTCTTTTTGTTTCTTTTGTTCACTTAGCCCAGGGGTAGGCAACCTAAGGCCCGGGGGCTGGATGCAGCCCCTCGAGGCCTTTGGACCAGCCCCAGGCCAGTCCTGCCCCCGCCGCTGCTGCCACTGCCACCCGCCATGATGATATTATTGTTGTTACTACTTGTTCTTGGGGTTTTCTTGGCAAAATCTCCACAGGGGGTTTGCCACGGCTTTTCTGGGGCCGAGAGAGTGTGCATGCATATATTTTTTTATTTTTTTTAAAAAAAATATTTATTTACTTATTTATTTATTTATTTTTGGTGCTTCGGCCTCCCAATTGCCTGAGGGACAGCAACCCGGCCCCTGGCTCAAAAAGGTTGCTTATCCCTGATTTAGCCTATCAGAAGATGAAATTAGAGTGAATGTCATTGCCATATACCACTGGTAGGTCAATTTTTTTTAAGTAACCTTAATTGTTTGGTGTTTTTGTATTTTTTGAAAAGGATACAAAATAACAGGTTAGGTCTGTTCTGTTGATTTCTCTTCTGCAAGCTGTATTTGCTATTTGCGAGGTGTATTCACATCATAAACATAACATGCCAGTCAAAAGCTCATGCATATTGTCACTGGCAAATTCCAGCACGCTGCAGGCTGAGAAATGTTCTTCTGAAATCATGAGGTTTGATGCAGCCAGTACTCATGAACTTTGGGCCATGTGCTATTTTTTCCACTTTCAAGCACGCAATCTGCATGAGAACAGCTAGGGCTTTGCAAGAAATAGTAACCTCTGAGACAGCTCCAATGTTCAGTGAAATTAAAAGCAAAAAGATTTCACTTTCTTGCGCAGAGCTCTGACACCAAAAAAAACCTCAGAAAGAAGGCCCCTAATGGACAATTGCATCCACAATCATATATCATTGAGTGAAAGTAGGCAAAAGATTACGCCAAAGGGAATATTTGCAAAGCACACATTTTCATGTTTATGCAATTCATTCCCAAAGCGTCCTGATCAAAAATTTATATCTCATTGTCCTAATGTAATCAAGGTAAGAAAAAAAAGTAGCAGAGACCAGATTATATCTTCCAAATTCAAAACAGCCATTCTACAGAAATGCAACTTATAAAGGTTAACCGGATGTGACATTAACAGCATGAATACAATTAATGTACAGTGACAGGGAAGCAAATAGAGGCAGTGCATCCCCAAATGATAATTTTACTCTCCCATGTGAAGTTTTTCTTGCAGCCTCAAATACCTAGCATTTCAGTAACTTAAAACTTCAACTTTTAGAAATACAAACTTAAGCATCCAAAGAGATCAGACAGGCCAAAATTCACTGATCACAACAAATGACAGTGAGCATGGCTATCAAATGCAAGAGATAAAGCTATGAACAATCTTAAATGTCCCAATTTCTAAATCAGCAAATTACAGTATAATTTATGCCACTGACTGGACCAAACAAGGAAGGATAGCCCAAAAATGTAAACTTCAAGGACACAGGACTTAATCTAACTGTTAGTCCTGACTAGAAACAGAAATGGAATGGGTATGAATTTACCATTCAGCAACTGATTCAGTGAATCTATTCTAGCTGGGATTGGCAATGAGATTTAGGGCAAGATACTGCCATTTCTACATCAGGCATTGTTGCTGATTCCTCAGGGGATACCATTAGCATCCTGATTTGGAGCACCGACAGCAACAAAAGCATATTTAGAGTTTACAACATATTACAGTAAGAATCATATGCGTCTTTAAAAAGAAGTAGGAATAGATAGATTTAAAAAACAGGATTGATCCATGAACCCAAAACTAAGAAAGGAAATTAAACAAGAAGATTATTGAAGAAAGATACAAAATGCAGCAGTAAGATAAGAACTGGACTCATTTTAATAAACAAGTATGAACCTGTTCGTGGATAAAGAAGAGAGTTTCAAATGCAAGGGTGTGCAAGGATGAAGGACAAGTGGTGCAGACACTGTTGCTGTCCACTACAGAGTAATCCCCCTTGAGGTAGTCAAGCAGCTTCAGTAGGAAAAGATATAGTAAATATACCAGTAGTGCAGGCTTTCAAAGAATGTGATTTCTTTCACCACATTACCAACAAAATAAAATTATTTCCCCAACATGGTATTAGGTATCACAATCAGGTATAGCCCATGATTTTTAACTGTCAGGGAAATTCAAAGGTTTCTTTACAGTTCAGTACGAGTATATTTCACATGGCATAAATAAATGAATATTTATAATACAAAGAATAGATAAATACATCCCCTTTTTAATTAATGTATCTTGATGCTGGATAGTTTCCCTATCTTAAATACGCTTTTCTTCTTCAGCAACAAGTCTGAAGTATACTCCAGCTACCTCCATGCTAATTAAAGTTTACTGCCAATTTCAGCTGGATATGGATCACACTCCTTAATGTTTCTTGCTACCAAATATCTCTGTATTTAACATGTATTCAACTGTACCTAAGAGATTTTTTTTCTCTCTGTAGAAAAAATAATACTTTCGTACTTACTAATCATACTTTCCACCCTATTTTTAAAGCAGTTCTAAACATTTCTTTAAAATTTGTCAAGTATTTTTAACTGTACAAGGAAAACTTGTTGAACTGTTGGAATCATAGGGCATCATGGTGACATCTTTTTTTTAAAAGTTTCTATTATCACAGATCTGTGCAGGTATACTCATACTTTTAAAATATATTGCATGTTAATAAACTTGAATAATAAAGTTTCTTTTCATGTAAAGAAAAAATACATTATCCTAACCCTTTGTTCCATAACAATGATCCTAGTGATACAGAATTGGTTCATTCTTCACTGCTCACTTTATCAGACAATATTCACATAGTCATAACGTAATAGCTCTCTACCTACTTATCTCAAAGTAAACCCATTTACGATATGGGACTCGCTTCTGAATAGATATTTAAAAGATTATAGCCAGTACCTCCATTTAACTGCATGCTTACCCTTTCCCAATACCATTCCTACTGGTTGACTTTACAAGCAAAATAACTTAAATTATACCAGCATTCTTATATTAATTAACATGGATTCAGAATCTTTTCAGCAGAGATTGCAGGTAGAGATATTCCTAGTAATGATAAGAGAGAGGATTCCATAGATTAGGTAGAAAAATGTTCTGTCAGAAATATTAAAGAGAAGGAGAGTACAGGATTATAAGCAAAAGACATGTGTCCTGGAAGCAAAATGAAAAAGAAAGGTTTTATTTTGGAAGAGTTGAACATCAACATGTGTAAAGATCTAGCAATGGATATAATGTATGTAATAAAAGAGGAGGGAAGCCAAAACCCATGACAATTGAAGGTGAATCTTCCGCTTCAGATATGGAAAGCTCATACTATAAAGTGAGTTGAGATGAGAATGAAAAATTATACAATGCCAGAAGCCAATTAACACAGACAGATGTTGAGAACAAAGCAATCTGTCAAAACCAGATTCGGTGATTCACAGAACAATTCCACTAAGGGTTCATACTGGAGTTCATAGACAAAACAAGGCATGTCAAGAACCTTGACTAAGTTTATAACAAATGGAATTATATGTAATAGAAGGTGAAGCAAGAAACAGCAACTATTGCATGGAACACTGAAGAAGTGCAGTTCCAGAGCTGTTCTTTGTTTATCAGCTGTTCCATGCTCATAAATTCATTCTGGAGAAGATCCAGAAAACCAGAGTGAATGTATTCCATGAACTTCTCAAATCCCCCACCCCCCCAAGATAATTTCTCTAGGTCTCAAGAGCTTGCATTTCCTGACACTAAGGCTGCATACACACTACAAAAATAATCCAATTTGGACCACTTTAACTGCTATGGCTCGATGCTATGAACTTCTGGGAACTGTAGTTCTGTGAGGCATTTAGCATTTTAGACATTTAGTCAGAGATCTCTGGTGCCACAACAAACTACATTTCCCAGAGTTCAATAGCGTTGAGCCATGGCAGTTAAAGTGGTGTCAAACTGGATTTTGGTATTGCTTCATAATTTCATTTAAAGTAACATTTTGAGGTGATTTTGGGTATTCCTCAGGAAGAAACTTCAAGGGAAACAAAAATAATATAATTAAAACCAGTAGGAAATATCCATATATCTGTACCAGAGACAGCCTGATCCAGAGACATTAGTGCAATTATGAATTGTAGGTGTTATTGTGTCTCTTAGTAGCAGGAGATGTATGGTAAGACTTGCTGTTTAAGGCTGTTAAAATAATTCAAATAGTGGGCAATATTAATAAAATCTGGTAGTAAGAATGCTACTAAGGCTGCTTTTGCACTGAAGAAATAATCCAGGTTGACATGACTTTAACTGCCATGGCTCAATGCTATGGAATTCTGGGACATGCAGTTTTGTGAGCTATTTAGCCTTCTTTGTCAGAGAGCTCTGGTGCCACAACAAATTATACTTCCCAGAATTCCATGGCACTGAGCCATGGCAGTTAAGGTGGTATCAACCTGGATTATTTCTGCAGTGTGGATGCAACCTAAGGGGGACTGCAGACAGGTGGCTCTGGGCTGCCCTGGGAAGCAGTGGATCAGGGCCACGGCAACCCCACGCCATAAGCCTAATTCTCCCTTTTGCTGCTCTGAAAGCTCTTCAGCACCCTTTTTGGTGCAGCGTGTCGAAATGCTGTGCCGGGAGGGCATCTTGATGCCACACTCCATGCATAACAGTGCATGGCATCAGGATGGTGTCAGTGTGGGCTTGGGGCGGCTGGTGTGCGGCTGCCCCGCCCCAACTCTGCCTCCAGGCCAGCCATTTGGGCCAGTCTGCAGAGGTTCTAAATTTCCTCTAAAGCAGGGCAAAATTTGTAGCTCTCAAGATGCACTGTTTCCTATTATCCCTGGCTTTTAGTTATGGTGGTTGAGGCAGGCAAAAACTGTGTATCCTGGCAGCAAAGTGAAGAAGAAAGATTTTATTATGGCAGAGTTGA